CTAGATAACAACACACTGGAAATCATTAACCTTTACCCACCCTAAACATCACACAACCACATGTAGCCATACTCTAATATAATCTTCACTTTGCCCTTGTTCTAAAACCCTTCACCAAACCCCAACTAATTACATTACCCAAAAACCTAAACCATAACCCTAACCTGTAACAATACCTGAAACCCCAAAGCAAACCCTGACCCTAAACCCAACCTATTCGTCTACAGGAAACACAGCTTAACCCTATTCTATTAACTGACTTGAGACCATTACATACAACCCAGCCAAACAAAGCCCAATTCATTACTAACCTAGCCTAAATCTCAAAATGTTATATTTTAGGTTGTCCAAAATTACTAAATGTCCTTTTTTTTTTAAGCATTAGGCAATAAAATATATTGAATGGGAGGTGCAAAATTATTAAATTGCTTAAATTATATAAAAATTATTAAAATATATTATTTATATAAAAAAAATCTCAAATTCTAGGATGGACTATTGCCCATATGTATATATATATATGAAAATTTACTTGCATGTAATATCCCCATATGTATATATATATATATATGAAAATTTACTTGCATGTAATATCATTTATATGTACTGTATCTAGCATCAAATTATTAATTTTTTACTTTTATAATGCTGTAGTTCTGAATAACCAGTATTTATTTTTAGTTAAAAAAAATTAATAATAATGATAATTTTCATGTCATACGAAAGATTTAAGTGTTATAACTTATAAAATCAAGGTTTGGTTTTATATATGCAATAATGTAAATACATATGACATGTGCATCTTGTACACATGGTACACTTGTAATTAAAATAGGAACTATCATTTTAACAGTCGTGATGCATGAAATGTGCTCCCAACTACTCCCTCCTCGGTGATGAAGTGGACAAGTGGTAGACAAGCTTTTACACAAAATTAATGGCTGAACAAATCCCCTCATCCTAGCATTGAAATCCCTACAAATTATATATAAACTCCTAATTCATTAGTGTGAACAAAAAGACTTTTATACCAAGCAATTGGGGTACCTTTCAGCATTGACTCATCCCTGCCATTTATAAGGAGACATATACTGGTGGGGGGTAATAATAGTCCCAACTCGCATTAAATTAGACCAACGAAAGCCATTCCTCGAGTTCTCCATATTTGTAAGAGTTCCCTTATAGTTTATTTTATTACACCTTTATTATATATAATTATATATATCATATTTATATGCATATATTTTTTTTCTATTTAAATCAATTAACAGTATAGGAAAATTTACATTTTATCATTTTAGAAATAAAGTACGGTAATGATATTAATACCCTACTGACCGAGTTTAGCCAACCGAACTGACCCCATCCAGCTGGCCACGCCAGAAATCAGCTAGACGATAAGGCCCGCCAGATATCACTGTCGTACTATCATCATACATATCAATTTTGGAAGTTAAGCAATAGTATTATTTTTAATGCTTAAATAAAAAAAAAAGATATTAGAAAAATAAATACATTGAAATTGTGTGGTATTTTTGTAAATGCTAAAAAAAATCCTAAAATCTTGATAGTGTGTGTGTGTGTGTGTGTGAAAGAGAGAAATTCATGGATGAAGCAATCTTAGATGTCCCTGTCACTTGTGTCACTTGTCAGTTGAAGCACATCTCAATCCACACCTCTAAATCCCTCCCCTTATTTTTAAAATCAATTAATTGCAAACCCCACATCATCTCAATTTATTGTGAAGCATCTTCTTTTTTCCCAACTAGTTTTTCAGAATATTCACATACGCCCCACATCATCTCAATCCTCATGAATTATTATTGTGAAGCATCTTCTTTTTTTCCCAACTAGTTTTTCAGAATATTCACATACCATTATAATTGACTGCATAAATAAAACTAGCCGTTAAATATTCAAATTTTCAAAATTTCTTCATTTTCTTAAAAATAAAATCACTATCATCATCATGAAAGTGAAAAACTTTTGACTTTTCTGCTTTTTCTTTCCTTTTGAGGTTCTTCTCCTATAAATCTCAAAAGGAAAACTATAGAAAACATAAACAAAGTTTAAAATTGCAAAATCACAAACCGAGGCATATTGCCCTAATAATGTGACCTAAGAAAAAAAAAACTCATAATATTAAAAATAATTTATAAATATGTTATAAACTATTGACATAATAATTTAGTTGGTTATCATAAGAATATAAACCTCGAATCTTAATTTTAAATAGAACAACAACAACAACAATAACCAGTGTTTATCCCACTAAGTAGGGTCGATTACATTATTTTTCTCCATCGATTCATATTTTATTTAAATCTAATAAATAAGACTTTTTTTTTTTACAATATGCCCTAGTCTATTTAGGACTGCCTCTACCTTTCTTTACAAAAGTCGAATCTAAAACATCTACTCTCCTAATCGTATCATCAGATGATCGATTTTTAATGCGATCAAACCATCTAAGACTAATCTCTCTAATCTTGAAGCTACACCAACCCTTTCACAAATGCATTCTCATTGCATTTTGTCTCTAAGTGTCAAGCCATTCATCCACCTAAGCATTCTTATCTCACCACCACATAATTCTGTTTTATGCTTCTCTTTTAAAGGCCAATGTTCTACATCATAAAGCATTGCAGTTCTCACCACCATCTTATAAAATCTTCCTTTCAGTTTTTCTTAAAGTTCAAGCGGTACTTATCTATCAAACTATGCCCTATGCAGTCCTCCACTTCAACCAACCAACATGAATTCTACTAATAACATCCCCATCTATATCACCATCACTTTGAACAATAGACTCTAGGTATTTAAAACGATCACACTTTTTAATGATTTGATCACACATAGTTACAACTCTATAAGTAGATATAATCTTGTCTGCCACCGAAGCTACATTAACCCTTTCACAAATACATTCGTATCGCATTTTGTCTCTAATTGTCAAGCCACTCATCTACGTAAGCATTCTTGACGCGAGGCTCGGGGGAGGACTGACTTGTGCTTGGTCAAGCTTGGCTCGACCGACCGGTCCTCAAGGGAGGGTGGCTGGCGCCCCATCCTTTCTCTTCTCTCTTTCCTTTTTCCTTTCTTTTTTTGTTACTTTCCTTACTAGGCCCTTTCTAATTTAATTCATTTCCTAAATTTTAAGATATGATTTTATTCTCCCTTATTATTTTAAATTTTTTTTGTAAAATCTAAAAATGATTTTATTCTTCTTTACTATTTTAAAAAGTCTTTCCTAAAATATGAAATCTGATTTTATTCTCCTTCTTAATTTAAGTGTTTCTTAAAATATGACAAGTCTCTTTATAAATAGGAGAAGTGCTTGGAGTTAGGAGTCTTATTTTTTATATATTCAGATTTTAGTGGTGATATTTTTCCTTTTAGGGTTGTTTCCGACATTGAGATCGTGCTTTGGTTGTCCCTCGTCTGAGGTGGTGATCATCTCCATGGGTCTGGGTGCTATGCCGTCTGTAGATTAACCCCGCTAAAATATTTACTTATCCATCCATCCTCCCAATTGTTGTCCACTGTTTCCCAACCCTATAACATGCCACTAAACCTCCTACCCGGCCTTCCTACAAGCCATCATTGATCTCCATACAACTTCTCTACAGGCTGCAGCCACCTCTAACCCTTCCCAACTCTTCCAGCTGCCTCTTGGCCATCTTGTTCGTCGCCCCTCTTCTTCCTCCAACCTTCACAATGCCTCTCTGAAGCTTCCATGCATGTTGTAGTCAGCTGCACTCCAAATTCTAGCCATTGACGACTTGTCCAGTTTCTCCAGCTATGGTACGATGCCTCTACAGCAGCCTGACGCTCTCTGGCTTTCATCGTAGCTGGTTGCCTTGCACCATCACCCCAGAGTTTCTATTAGTCAATATTGTTTATGTCTTCGTTGTTGTGTTGTTTGTTTACAATCCTTTTTGCACTTTTGCTTTGTGTGGTTATTTTCATTTATTTTGAGTTTTCATTATATTCTCATCAAATTCAGTAATAAAATTTGTCGTCTTGCTTCGTGGCTTGGGTTAACTCTGGTATCATTTAGTATCAGAGCTAGCCCAACCCTAGTCCCATCCTAGGATTTCTAGTATCCACCCAATACCTAATCCACCACACTAATTTTTTTTCTTTCTTTTTGTTTATTTTTTCTCTTCTTTCTTTGTTCATTCTTTTCTTTCCTTCCATAGATCCCAAACCGCCAAACAAGCCGCCAAGGAGAGATATGCACGGGCCTACCTGAGAAGAGATACAATTAGAACTCTGTTGCCTCCAACAAAGAATTGCATATATTGAAGAGGTGACATGAGAAGAACTTACCTTCGACTGGACCTTGAGAGTCTAAGGGAGAGAGAGAAGATGATCTAATTCCCTTTCATAGGGATAATTTCAGCAATGAAGAAGATAAGACATGGCGTTCCGGACTCCAATATCGGACGAGGCCTAAAGGATACTTGTGTATCTTCCACAGAGAGGCTTTCTGAGAAGAGAGGTCATTTTGAGGGCACTAAGACCACAAGATCAAGGTATATTTGCCCAAGTTTGAGGGGATAATGGATCCAGAAAAATTTATTGAATGGATTTAGGCAGTTGAGCGGATCTTTGAGTACAAAGAGGAACCCGAAGAGAGGCATGTCTAATTAGTTGCTATTAAATTGAAGAAAAGTGCCTCCCTATGCTGGGAGAACGTATTGCAACAAAGGAGGCGAGAAGGCAGTGAATAGATTACCAGGTGGGAGACGATGAAGAAAACCATGCAGAAGAAATATCTTCCCCCTCATTACCGCAAAAAACGTAATTTTGAAATTCCACAATCTGCAACAGAGAAACCTTTTAGTGGAGGAGTTCATAGCTTAGTTTGACCACTTACAATTGAAGTGCGACCTGACGACCAGAGGAGAATACATTAGCCATATATCTTGAGGGCTTGAAGCTTAATATTAGCAATTTGGTATAGCCACAACCATGTTGGACGCTGGAGGATGTCCAGACACTTGTATTGAAATGAAAAGACAATATAAGTAGAGCCGACAACCACCACTCTCCAGGCAGCCATCCATGGTTGGAGACACCAGTAGGAGCACGCTATAGAGAGTTAAAAAAATTGGTTTGGATAAGGATAAAACCACCCTCAGTGATAAGAAGCCGACTATAATGCTTGTCACAAAATGCTTTAAATTCCATGGATTGGGGCACATAGCCTTCATCAGCCTGATGAGCATAGTTGTATCTTTTACTGTACCGGGCACAGTGGAAGAGATTAGTGAGGAACAGGAAGCTGAGGAATAGGGTGAGGACTATTAGCTTGCACCAAATGAGGGAGAAGCAATTGTGATTCAATGAGTTTTAATGGCAGAAGACACGAGGGATCCATAGTGAATGTTTTCTACGCTTGTTGCATGGTAACAGAAGGTTATATTGTCTTATCATCGACGAGGGTTGCAGTAAGAATGTGGCATCGACCCAAATGGTGGATAAACTGAGACTCATGATTCAGATGCATTCTTAGTCATATTCACTAACGTGGCTAAAGAAGGAAAAAAGGGTCAACATCGACTGACAATTTTTAGTAGAGTTTTCAATAGGGAGTCTGCTGCAGGTTCATGTATGCTGTGATGTGGTCCCCATGGATGCCTGCCCTTGCTATGAAGATTGTGGAAATTTGATCAGAAGACTCAGCAAGATGGATTCTTTTCACCAAGGACGGTGAAAACCTCATTCTACTTCCTTTGGTAGCACCTCACGAGATAGAAGCCCTTATTAGCAGAGTAGAGGGATCTGTATTACTGACAATTGTTTCTCTACCATCATAGCCACCACCATACAAGATATTTAGTCCCAAGAGATTGGACCAAGATAGAGGCACGCTTGCGAGTGCTTTGGGAGGCACTACAGTCGACAGTGGGATATAAATGATGTCAGAATTAAGGACAAGGGACCAGAAGCTTCAACAGATGAGGTCGAAGCTCCCCCAACCCTAGGAGACTGATGCGGAGCTCGGGGAGGACCAGTCTGGGCTTGGTCCAGCCTGGCTGGGACTGGCCATTCCTCAAGAGAGGGGGGTTGCCTCCCCCTCCTTCCACTTCCCTTCTTTCATTTTTTCCCTTCTTTCCTTTTCCGTTACTTTCCTTCCTAGGCCATTTCTAACTTAATTCATTTCCTAATTTTTGAGATTTAACTTTATTCTTTCTTCTTATTTTAAAAGTCTTTCCTAAAATTTATAATTTGATTTTATTTTCCTTTATCATTTTAAAAAACTTTTCCTAAAATCTAAAATCTGATTTTATTGTCCTTTTATTCTCCTTCTTATTTTAAGTGTCTCATAAAATAGGTCAATTCTCTTTATAAATTAAAGATAATGTGCTTGGAGTTAGGGGCTTTGTTTTTTAAATATGAATTCAGGTTTTAGCCTTGATATTTTCCCTTTGAGGGTTGTATATGACATCAAGTAGTGCTCATGTTGTCCCTCGCTCGAGGTGGAGATCTTTTCCATGAGTATGGGTGGTGCTCCGGCTGGAGCTCGGCCCCATCAAGATATTTATCTATCTGTCTGTCCTACCTGTTGCTATTCACCGCTTCTCAGCCCTACAACAGACCACCACACCTCAACCCCTGCCTTCCTGCAAGCTGCCACCGATCTCCATGCAGCTTCCCTGCAGACTGCAACCACCTCTGATCCTTCCTAGCTCTTCTAGCTGCCCCTCGAATATTCTGCCAGCTACACTCTTCCTCTTCCAGCCGCCACATCGCCTCCCTGCAGCTTCCCTGCAGGTTGTAGTCAGCCACATTTCAGATTCCAACCATCGACGACTTATCCACTTCCTCCAGCTGCGGTTCGACGCCTCTACATCGGCTGAAATATCTCTAGCCTTTACCGCAATCGTTTGCCTTGCAACATTACCTATGAGCTCCTCTTTGTCAAGATTGTTTAGGTCTTTATTTTTGTATTGTTTGTTTACAATCCTTTGCACTTCTTTTGCAGTTATTTTACTCTTGTTTAAGTCTCCGTTGTATCCTCATCTAATTCCGTAATAAAATTTGTCGTCTTGCGTCATGGTTTGGATTAACTCCAGTATCAATTCTCATCTCAAGAACACTTAACTTAGTTTTATGCTTGTCTTTTTTATAAGTCAAAGTTTTGCGCCATAAAAATTTGTAGGTCTCATCACTATCTTATAAAATTTTCTTTAAGTCTTAGTGGTACTTATCTATCACACAATAGCCCTTATGCATTCCTCCACTTCAACCGAACAACTTGAATCCTATTAATAACATCCTCATCCATACCACTATCACTTTATATAATAAACCTGATATATCTAAAACGATCACAACTTTTAATGATTTGATCACCCATAATTGCAACTCTATCAGTAAATTTACTACTACTAAAATTACATTACATGTATTCATTTTTAGATTTACTCAAACGAAAGCTTTTAGACTCCAATGTAGACCTCCATAATTCAAGTTTTTCCTGGATTCTCTTTAGCCCACAATAAGGATATCATCAACAAAAAACATACACTTAGATACATCCATTTATAAATATCCAATAAGAGCATCCATCACTAAAGCAAAGAAACGAGCTTAAAGCCAAACCCTAAGGAGATTCAACTAAAATAGAAAAATACTTAATCAATCCTCCTTTTAATTATCTCTAATATAAATATCATTAATGATTTAAACATAGATCCTATCAACATCTTTCTTTTCTAAATCTCTAAAAAATTTCTCTTAGAAACTTTATCGTAAGCTTTTTCTAAATCAATAAAAATCATATGTAGATCCACCATACTCTATATTTTTCCATAATAAACTTAGTTTAAATACAATATTAATAAAAAATAAAAATTTGAAAAAAATAATTCTAGATAAATATTTATTTAAAATTTAAATAGTTCATGGAATTCAAGATCCATAATGAATTCATTCTTAATTTCATAATCTTCAAACAAATTATCATATTTATTGCCATTTAATTCATTACAATTTTCTTCTATCTATTAATCTAAAGTATAATATTGCTAAGGCCATAACAACTACTGGCCAAGCCAGTTTTCTATTCATCAAAAGGTGGATATGAACATTCTCAGGTACATCAGAAAATAAAAAACTCATCTTCTCCAAGTACCAAAAACTACAAATCACACTGGTTAAACCATAATTTAAAAAGAAAAAAAAAACTGAGCTGATTCTTCTGCAAAGAAAAAATAAAAATTTGATTTTTACTGCCAACAATCTCTAAATCTGCATCAAAGTGAGATCTTAAAATGGCTTATTCAGCTCAGAAAGCTTCTCTTTCTCCTGTCACACGGCATGGCTGATGAAGAAATTGAAATCATGATGGTAAACTCTTAGCTGCTTCAGCCATGAATCTGCAGCGCTGCAGAGCGTCATTATCTTCTCAATATCTGAATTTTCTGAATTCATCCAAATGTTTCCTTGCATTTTATAGGTTGCGAGGCCATATGGACATAATCTGATGCAGTTTGTGCTCTCCTTTGAATTCCTTCCAAAGTTTGGGGTAGAAGTGCAAGAAATGTCTTTTTTGCAGTCCATGAAAACATTATCTGCATTGATATCACTGATAATTAATAACATGCTATAAGAACACTAATTTCTTGAGAAATTTACATAACACACTACACAATTCCTATGTATTCACATTTCTAACACCCAAAGTTTGATATCTACAAGCAGTATTTCAGTTTTAAAAAGGCATTTATGGTGATATTTTTTGTGTGATGGCAAAGATTTGAGTTGTATGCATGCAAATATGAATATTTAGGTCTTTAGATATGTAAATACATCAGAATTGTGTGGTATGCGTGTAAATGCCCCTAATTTCTTCCATAATCTCTTGGGGGAATTATAATACAAGCCACTGAATTCATAAATCTAAATCTTCATATTTCTTTCTACAATACTCTACACTCTAAATTACATCAGAAACATCATTATCATTACCTAATAAGTATTGATGTTAAGTTCATAGCCAATCATAAAGCTTATGTTAAAAATTGCAAAATAAGTTCAAATTTATATTTATGTTAATTATAATAATTCCTTCTTCAGCCTACATATTGCATACAAAATAATATGTTTTTATTCAAAAAGGCTCATTCAATCATAGGTGAATAATAATTGACATTCAAGCATTGGCGACGGTACACTCCAAAGCGAAAACTTCCTTTTTACATGTTATATGAAATGTTTAATGTAGTAAATATAGTTATAATTATGCCTTCATGGAAAACATATCATGTGATTGCATGTGTAAAATAACTATTAGAAAACACACCCATAAGACAGGTAGATGCAAGTTAACATCCAGGGATTAGGAAGGCATCAAAACAGAGTCAAAAAACAAAATTATAACATGCTTAAAATTTTTCATTGCTATTTGTGTAAAATATGTTGTCAAAAAACAAAATTGTTTGTTCAAGACTAAATAAATTTGAAAATGATTACATCGAATAATTACAATATCGAAAAATTACTTAGATAAAAATCAGAACAAGGTGAAATTTTGAACTATAGCTATTTTACTTTAAATGAACACCACAACAAACATTGAATTTAGTTTCTTAAAGATCAAGCCTGAAATATTTCCCTATAAAGATAATCAAAAGCTTGAAACTGCAAACAAATAGATTTGAATACTCAAGAACACTATGGTAGAAAACAAGTTATTAGAATAAGGGTTGATTCCGAAGAACGCCAAATATTACGGCGTAAGGACCACATTTAGACCTACAAAATGTTTTGTGAATTATGAGAAAAGATGGGGATCAATTAGGAATCTAGCATTGATAGGGCCATGTGATGCAAAATTAAAGCCTTGTGCTTCTAAGGTCCAATATTTAACCAGATAATAAGACAAATAAAAATTAATAATTAATATATATGTATATATATATATATTACTTAAACTGTCTCATAACTATAATTGAGGCTACAAAAAAGTAATGAGGAGATAAGTAGCATTGTCTCAACCATTAAAGGGGCTACTAAAATAATCATAATAGTGGGCCCTCTCATAAACATAAAAGATATTCCCATTTTATTAGTTGTTTATAACTAAAAAGAGGATTGTTAAGCAAATCTCATTAAAAAGGCAAATGAAGAGACAACATAATGGTTTATTCTAAATATGTAGCAAGCATCCATTCTGGTGTTTGATAAAATCAGAATGAAGGTTTAAACAAAAATAAAAATAACAACTTCTAATTTACAAAAGCATCACCTTGAGAAAAATTGCAACTTGGATATAAATTCATATAAATATATATATATATATATTATCAAATAAAATTTGCAAATACCTTGGAAAGAAGATGAGATGGTATGAAATGTCAAGAATGAGGCCGAAAGATCCTTAGCATTCTTGCGAGCGGGAATATGATAGATAGGGTACCTATTAAAATTTTATCATCATAAGATTTGTAAGAAATGAAAAATAAAACAGCTTTCAAGTAACAAAAAGCTTAACTTAAAAACTTCCTTTTGAACACTGAAGCAATCCACAATTCTTGAGCAATTGCCAAGTTCCCCATAAATTTTTTGAAAGAAGATTTACATGCATACCACTAAATTTTTATGTATTTACATATCTAAATATGTCGAGATCAACGAAGAAAGATTCTCCCCATAAATTTTTTGAAGGAAGATTTACACGCATACCACTAAATTTTTATGTATTTACATATCTAACATCCAATATTCAATTTTTACAAACATACCAACTAATTATTAAGAGAGAAGCTACTGATGCTAAAAAATCTGCTTACCAAGCAACAGACATCCAACTTGCAGGTGAAAGATCCACACTCTTAAATGACATCAAACCCGGATAATTTTGAGAAAGCTCTTTCACCTGTAATATCAGATTAAAATTAATTAATAGAAGAAGGTAAGTTTGTAACTAAAACTAATTACATAAACATACCCACGATATGTCAAAAGAAGACATTTGGGTTGTTTGATTCAATGTTACTTGCATGTTCGTATGATGTTAGGTTTATTAGCATGTCTATCTTATCCGTTGAATATTATATTCTGTTCAATTATATTTAAGCAAATCAGAACTATTTGAGTGAGTTATGATTGTGTGAGATCTACAGATGCCACAAAATCGCCTGACATTGTTATAGACAGAAATGAGCGAAGTGCAAAAAAAAACCCCTAACTATTTACATGGGATCATTTTAGTCCGAGAGTCAATAAAAATGTTGAATTAGTCCCAGACTATAAACTGAAGCAAAAAATAATCCTCTATGGGGACTATTTCAACCCATATTAATAGAATTTTGAGACTAAAGTGGCACTTTTATAGACTCTGGATTAAAATACCCCCTGCAAAGAGTCAAATGATCATTTTGTCACTGTCCTTGAATATAAATATATTTTACATTGCAATACATTTGAATTAAACAGCATAATATAACAAATTAAAAAAAAATTGATCTTACTTTGTCCATAAGTGGAATCCTTCCCCAAGGAGGGCAGCATTCCATATAGTGAAAATATAGATAACCCAACCGATTATTCGAACACGAACCATCTTGATCGAAAGATGAGTCCTCCGATGCAGCATCCCATGACCTTGATAGCTTCTCGCTTTCACTATCATCGCTCCACGAATCACTCTCGCTTTCTTCTCCCAAAACCCTGAACATTTGCATCAAAATGTAACTCAGATTATGTTGCAAAAAGAATAAAAATCAAATTTTTATGCATCAACATCCTTAATACCTCAAAGAAGAGAGAGATTTTGTGGTGTAAATCTGGATGGCAGACAAGTAAGGCACGTAGTATTGGACTACAATTTCACCATCAGGGAAGAGGATTGGAACTCCAGCGCCATAAGCACTCCATTCCTTGTACTGATCCCAGAGGTCTCCAAGAGTAAAGTACTCCACCTCCTCTTCCTTCTCAATTGGATGCCAGAGACTGTTCAGATCCCTCATGCATGACTGTTTAAAAAGAACATTTACATTTTCATAAAAAATAAAAAATTAGTTTCAGCAATTTTGGCTATAAAGGAGGCAAAGTCATGGAAATATTCAAAACGATTTGAGTGATAGAACAAAAAGAAGCATATTTTCTATGAAAAAAAACGAATTTTTAAGGCACTTTCACAAATTCAAATTTAAACTCAAATCTTGAAATTTATAACAAAAACCTGACATGTCTTCTTCCTTCTATTCGAATTAAAAACGGTTTCATCGTCATACACACAAACACACAAAGTTGGTCGATAAGGGACTCGATCAAACACTCTGAATAAAGAAGGGGGATTCAAACCAAGCTACAGATAAACAATTTAAAGATAATGAAATTCATGAAGAATTACATAAATATTTCATATGATTAAAAATGAAATTTTTCTAAATGACCTATTTATAAAAGAGAATAAATGTAAATCTTACATAATTGGCCAAGTATTTTAATTACATATAGAATGCATAGTTTGGACTTGGTGCAGCAAGTTATGAAGTGAGCAAATTAGACAAATTTTGAAACCATCTTTGACAAGTTTTTCTGAAGAGAACCGCAACTTGTTCTATACGTGAGCTGCAACTTCTTTTTGGGGAATATCCATAAGTAATGGATGATTTGGTGAGTCCCTAGAGCCAATTTCGAGCTAATTCTTGGTCTAATCCCTCAAGATTAAGCTAAGTGGCTTTAAATTTAAAGAGTTTAGGGTGTTGACAGTGCAAGCCGGCTCAAAATAAACAACTTGACGCATTAGTTTGATTAATTTGAACCAGTTCTACATTAGCGTACACACAGCTTCAAGCACTGGGCTGCAGATCTATAAGAGAAACTTATATGGTCAGCCATAATGACCTGTAACAATTACAGTATTTGCATTTCAATTAATCAACCAAACTCTTCTTCTGTATCACATAGGATAGAAACAGTTACCCGTGATGAAGACAAGCAATTCTTAAACTGAAAAGAGAAATTATGCAGGTAAAAATCAATGGCAAATCATTATGATCTTCAAAGAAGTACAAGAGAAGAAGAAGATACGTTATGTCCTGAGAAAACGATTTCTCGCAGAAAGATACTTAGACGGAGGAAGAAAAAATCAGAAGATAATGAATAATCATTCTACAAGGTAAAATTAAAAGAACATGCCAAAGCATGGGCCAGCTGACCAAAATCATGGAAAAACACACCCTTTTTCTCTTCTTTTGTTTAAGGGAAACGTGTAGAGAGAGAGAGAGAGATCACCTTGGGGAGAGATTGAGAGGCAACTGAAGGAGTGGTGCTGTCGAGGAAGCACTTAAGGTTTGAATGGCTTCTGAAATTCGCTGCCATCATTCTCTCTCTATAGCTTACTGACAAGATCTGTTCCTAATATAACTCCCCTGTTTTTGCCCCGGTTCTCTAATCTCTCTCCTCTTCTATCGACACCATCCAAAACACCTTTCACTGACATAAAAATTCATTCCTCTTTCCCCGACAAAAAGAAAAAAAGAAAAGAGACCAGAAAAAAGAGAGCTAAAAATGAACTGCAGAAAAACAGAAAAAAAAGGACAAATCTTCCTTCTCGCTTTCTCTCCTTCTTCCCCACTATAATACTGCAACTTCTTCTACAACAGAGTAACAGAAGAAGAAGACAACGAAGAGAAAGAAGCGAATAAAAATGTTGTGAAACAACTCCACATTCACGACAACCTCAGATTACCCACTGAAGTACTCTAATTTTCGAAACCACCGATGCCTGTCATCAATACTCTTCCTTTCTCTCCCAAACTGTTTGCTATATAAGAACTCCACAGAAGTGGTGAAACAAAATCCCTTCTCTTCCCTAGCACTTACAGTCCTCTCACCACCAGAAAAGATTGCGCCTTTTTCTCTGTTCTGAACTAGAAGGACGAGCCAAAGCAGGCAGGCACAAGGAAAAACCCAAATATCTCTTTCTGTCTCTCTCTCCTTTCAATCAGAGCCCCGTTCTCTTCGCCGCTTGGGCTGCTGCTCCGCTGTTGGGCATTTCCTCTCCTTTATTGCAGTTTTGTCCGAATCGTCACTGCCGTTATCTGTAGGGTAGATATGCAATAACGTATTAAAAGACTGGACTTTTTTGAGTTTCAGAAACAGAAGAGGAAAAAGATGAGAGTTTCCTTCCAGAAATTGACTATAACTGGCGATGAAATTCCAAAACCAGCAACTGAATTATTCCGAGGGGTTTTACCTTAATTTGAAGGCGGTTAGCATGCCCTTCAATGAGATGACTGTATTCGGTTAATTGTTCAACAATGGAGCGAAATTATATCAAACTTCATCCTCTTCCTACCCCCCTCAACAATGAAATATATATCTTTTAATTGGTGAGTATTAATTAGTTTGGGATGTTTTAGTTTTTAGTCAATGGCTTTCAATAAACGCTGTCAACTGAAATGAGCTGGTCAAAACGAAACATCAATTTAAATGATTTTAAATGTTTTTAAATAAAATCTTTAATGTTGTATGGAAGGTTTTTTTTTTTGAAAAATAATGTGGCTCATATTAATGACTAGGGCTGCCAATCTGGCTCGTTTTTCGCGAACAGCTCGTGTTCGGCTCGTAAAAAATCTCGTGTTCGGCTTGAACACTAATAATTTTTTAAGCTCGAATTGTAAACGAGCCGAACACGAACATAAGTTTGTTCGCTCATGTTCGGCTCGAATTGACTCGAAAATAAATAATTAAATAAATATATACATAATAAATATTCATAAAATTAAATATTATAAATTTTAATTAATTAGTTTTTTTAAAAATTGTCATATTTTATAAAATTTAATTCTTTAAATTATTATATACAATAAAATATTAATAATAATATAATAATAATATATTACTAATACTTATATAATATTCTTCTAATCTTACTTCTCATGTATTATCGAATAATCATAGGCTTAAAGCCTTAAAGTATTATATATTTATATAATAATATAATATTAGTTTTATAATTAAAATATTATAACATATATAGTATCTAAAAAAACCCTAACCCCGCCTCCCCATTCCTCTCCGCTCTCTCGAACTTTCTCACTTTCAGCTGCCTCTCGCACTCTCCCTTTAACTCTTCTTGTTTTTCTTTTGAAAATTCTTTCGATCGACGACAGCAACAACTTAGGGTTTGTCGTGGGTTTGTTGTCTCCGTTCATCTTCTAATATCGACTTGTATATCTCTTCGGATAGTTAGTGACTCGGTGTTGGCTCAATTGCTCTGTATTCTTGCTTGGTCGCTCGTTTGGTTACCTAGGTGTTATCTCTGAGTATCTTCTCTCTAATATTTTATATTATCTTCTGGTTCGCTTCTTATCTTATATTTACTTAAATTTATTTTACATTTATTTTGATTTTTTTAGGGAAACCTAGCTTTGTTTGGGTTTTTGGCAGGATCGCAGTGCAGCTTCGCATATTGCATTTATATTTTTTTTTTCTATGGATGAGAATATGAGATCCGATCTAAGTGTTTTGTTGTGAAATTTAGTTCGGCGTGCATTCTGTGGTGAATCATTATGGGGTTCGTTTATTGCTTCTAGATCAGAATTTTTTTGGTAAAGAATACTATGCTTCTTTCCTTTAGCTTTTCAAAACAATAACATATGTTTTCCTTTAGCTTTTCATCCAGTTGATATTCTTGTATTTTTGTCTATGATTTCCAGTTGATGCTACAAGTTATGTTTATAAAGCAAGATCGCATATGAATACTTGAGTTCAAGTTATGTAGATTAGTCTTGTTGTGAAATTTAGTTCGGCTTGCATTGTGTGGTGAATCATTATGTGGTTCGGCTATTGTTTCTAGATCAGAATTGTTGGGACTGCTTTATAATGGTAGACATATCATAATGGGGACATATCATAATGAGGACATATCATAATGATTAATGAGAAGCATTACATATGTTATATACAATAAAATATTAATAATAATATATTACTAAAACTTATATAAGATTCTTCTCAGGTATTATCATGGGCTTTCTCGAATAATCATGGGCTTAAAGTATTATATATTTATATAATAATATAATATTAGTTTTATAATTAAAATATTATAACATATATAGTATCTAAAAAAAACCCTAACCCCGCCTCCCCATTCCTCTCGGCTCTCTCAAACTTTCTCACTTCATCCTTCCTCTCTCTCTCTCTCCACATCTCCTTGTTCTTCTTTCGAAAATCATTTCGGCCGATGGCCGCAACAACTTAGGGTTTGCTGTATTCGTTCGTTTTTTAATATCGACTTATATATCTCTTCGGATAGTTAGTGACTCTGTGTTGGCTCGATTGCTCGGTATTCTTGCTTGGTCGCTCGTTTGGCTACCTAGGTGTTATCTCTGAGTATCTTCTCTCTAATATTTCATATTATCTTCTTGTTCGCCTCTTATCTTATATTTACATAAATTTATTTTACATTTATTTGGATTTTTTTAGGGAAACCTAGCTTTGTTTGGGTTTTTGGCAGAATCACAGTGTAGTTTCGCATATTGCATTTATATATTTATTTTTATTTTCTATGGATGAGAATATGAGATCTGATCTAAGTGTTTTGTTGTGAAATTTAGTTTGGCGTGCATTCTGTGGTGAATCATTATGGGGTTCGCTTATTGCTTCTAATCAGAATTTTTTTGGTGATGAATACTATGCTTCTTTCATTTAGCTTTTCAAAACAATAACATCTATTTTCCTTTAGCTTTTCATCCAGTTGATATTCTTGTATTTTTGTCTATGATTTCCAGTTAATGCTACAAGTTATGTTTATAGAGCAAGATCGTTTATGAATACTTGAGTTCAAGTAATGTAGATCAGCCTTGTTGTGAAATTTGGTTCGACTTGCATTGTGTGGTGAATCATTATGTGGTTCGGCTACTGTTTCTAGATCAGAATTGTTGAGACTGTTTTATAATGGTAGACATATCATAATGGAGACATATCATAATGATTAATGAGAAGCATTACATATTCAGTGGTGATTCGGCTATTGCTTCTAGATCAAATCTTTTTTTTGTGAAGAATATTATGCTTCTTTCCTTTAGCTATTCAAAACAATAACATTTGTTTTCCATGTGTTATGGAAGTTGAATACTAGGGTTTATAAGCAAGAAAATGAATGAACACACTGTTCACGAGCCGAACACGCTGTTCACGAGCCATTTCGAACATGAGCCGATTTCGAACATGAGCCAATTTCGAACGAGTCGAACACGAGCCTAGCTTGAGATCGCTCAGGCTCGACTCGTTTACAACCCTATTGATGACTTGAATTAATGGGCTATGAATCCTTTAGCATGTCATTTTTTTTAATCTTTTTTTTTAATTTTAAAAATATTTAATATAAAATAAAATGATCATTGATCTAACTCTTGCTCAATAGAAAAACATTGATGAAGATTATAATAATTTCAATGGATGGACCCAATGATTTATGTATTGAATTTTTAAAATATAAAGTGACAAAAATATAAAAATGTAAGCTTTATGGCCATTTTGCTAATCTTATTGAGATGTTCTCTACATTGAGATAATGCACTATAAAGCCCAATAAAAAAAATGAGTTTTTAGAGCTTGTTAAGGTAAATCTTTGGAGCATATGATCACAATTGAAGAGATTAAAGTCAGTTCAGACAAAATAGAAGTAATTTTGGAGACAGACCTCTCTAATATTAATACAATAAGTCATAAAGTGTATTGAGCAGTTGATCATTTTTATTGTTTTATTTTAGATTATGTTAGAAAAATGATGATCTTTAGAGAGTTGTGGAAGACAAATAAATCAATTATTTACAATGAAGGTTAAAAAAATTTATTTCAAAACTTGAAGTATTGTATTTCCGAACCTCCCATTACCAATAATCTAAAACCTTGAAAGCCTTTGCTATTATTATTTAGAGTCAACATTTAGCTAAAATTTATAAAAATCATTTATTTGTTTCCAATTGTTTAGGACGAAGACTGGAGATTGTGTATGAAGTATTTATGTGAGTTATATTATTTATTATGTGAGTTTGAAATATATATTTTGGTTGATTTCGACTGACGGCCGCAACAACTTATATCATTTATTATGTGAGTTTGAAATATATATTTTGGTTGTCATGATGAAATAAATATGTGATTGATTTTATTTTTTTATCTGAACCCGACTATATTCTTGGAATAGAGCATTAACAACTTCTTTTGTTTTTATAACAATTGGCCATTGTATGATACAAGTAAGATGATATCATCATATATTTTATCATGGATTTTCATATCAAGGCATGTGCATAATATTTTATGAATGCTTATTTATCAACTGATCATATATAAGTCTTTGTACTTATTTCCTATATGATAAATTAATTTAGTTGATAAGCTAGTGTATTGGTATATTAATACTATTGTGAAATTTAATGGAGTGCTCAAGGTGATCATGCTAGATTGTAATGATTGCCTCATGATATTTTTGATAGATAAGAAGACTTTGCTATAAAGTTGAATTTTAAATGATTTTTCATTCCTTAATATGTGGATAGGTTGAAAGGGTGATACAATCATTGGAGGACTTACTAAGATTATGTAGGTAATGCTTTGGAGGTGATTAAGAGAATCATGCACCTTAGATTCAATTTGCTCGCGATAATCTTTTTTAATCTAATATGATGAATGACACCATATGAAGTATAGTGTGGTAAAGAATACATAAATAACACTTGGAATAACTAATGACATGGTACTTTAGGAAGATCACACTTATTTCAACAAATTAGAAGTAGTACAAATGAATTTTATATTGATGGTTGCGCATATGAAATGACAAGTTAAGCCAATATAACCTACAAGGTTGTATATTTGTTCATTTTTTAATTAATTTTGATGGCAGGTCTAATGTGATATGTTAAACTTATAGTTATAAATGTATTATGGTGATGATTTCAATTGATATTCTACTCATCACAACCCATCTTGAAGTGTTCTATTGTAATATAGATGTTAAATTGTGTTGGGCAATGACATAGCCAACCTCTCTTAAAATTGGAGGTACATATAAATAACTTAAAGTTATCGTGAACATCCTATAAAATAATAGTGAGCAAATTCTAAGATTTTGATGTGTATAATGTTGTATGAAAATTAGAATAATTTTTCATCTAAAAAAAGAGAGTTGGCCACATGACCTTTAATAAATGAGTGATCAAAAGAAAGTCAGGAACATAGTATAAATATAAAAACATAAAGGTTAATTAAATGATATTCCCAAAAAAGATCATGAGTTTAAATTTCTTTATGATTCAATGATTTTGGCCTAATTTTA